TTTCGTCCGCAATGAAGAAATTTTCCAAAGAGTAATTTTGGCAGATTGAGTTTTTTTTCCACTGCACCACATCTTCAATGTCAACTTGGGCGGCTTCAAATGGTCTTTAAGATGACATTCTACCGATGACAAAATTTTACCAAGCATCCATTCGATGTCTTAAATGTAATTAATTGTAGTCTTACAACAAAAGAAAAAAACTGGACAAGATGAGTAAATCAGGTTTCCCTAGATCAATGAAAAATAATGGAAATAAGACGTTCATGTCACTGTCATTTGTCCAGTTTTTTTTTTTTTAATAAAATAGTACACAATTTGGTCAAAAGCAGTATTGGCTCTTTTCCTTTTCCAAGTTTCCATTCTCCATAAAAAATGTTCGAATAATGTCCAGTTTTTTCTTCAAAATTTCTGCAACTTGGGTTTTTCCAACTTTAAATTTTTCAGCTAGTAGTCGTATGGTGAGTTTAAACTTTTCAGCACTTTCAATCATTGCCATTTTTCCCTAACACTTAAACATTTTCTCTGTTCTGCAAACAGTCGCTGTTCAATGCGATACAGGGCAAAATAAGCTTTTGTTAGGATGTTGGAAACCACTTACCTTTTGTATACACCCACTCTAATAAATATTTTGGATGTTTCTAACAACACGAACTTTTACGATCATTTCCATGAGAATACAATACAAAAGAAAACATTGCTAGAAATCTTTATAAACGGTGTCCGGTCCCATACAAAGGTTTACTGCTATAGAAGCGGTTTACTCCCAGGAATCGAACTTTTGCAAACATATTTACTTCCCGAGCGTAAGCTAAGGAAGTATTGTAGTCGAGTCCATTAGGCGACTGGCTACTTTCACATTTTCTCGATGTGTTATGTTCCTTGGAATACAAAAACAGAGGTCTCCTATTTCCTTCTCTCTATCTGTCTATCTGTTTGTTGCTCTCTCTATGTGTGTGTGTGTTTCCCGTCCGTCTGAACTTGTATTAATTACACAAATTATCTCCGAAACTGTAGGACCAAATATTGTCAAATTTTATATGGGTATTATGAATAGCATGTAGATGGTAAAACGCTAACCAAACTTTGTCTAATCATCCCTACCAACCATGTGATGACGTCACCTCAAAATTGTACATAGTAAATGGGTTTTAAATTATACAAAAAACAGAGTCCTACACGTGCAGTTCATGAAACCTTGTGGAGTTTTTACCTAAGACATTCAGATTTTTGGAAAAAAAATTCAAATTGTATAACATTTTGCAATTTAATTTTGAAACTGCAAATCCGAATGCTCTGAAATCTTGCAGACGTTGTTCTAACCAAAACATATGTCTTTATCCCTCCAAAAAATTAATGACGTTTCTCAAAAAATTTTATCGAATAAATTCTATTGAGAATATGTAAAATATGCTGAATATATACCCGTGATTTACCATTTGATTTATATTTTTCAGAACTGCTTATATAGTATGTCTCAAAAAAATAATCAGGGAGTCAATTTATTTTATTAATTAAATCTGGATCGGCTCACTCCATTTTCTGTAAATTCGGGAATACATACTGTTATTATTAGTATCACACTGCACCCATCCAAACTGATACACATGCCCTTGGGAAAATGTTGATGACGTCATCACATAATTCTGTAAAGGAAAAACTTATTTGAAACTTACCCGTACCACGCTTCTTTGCATTTACTTTAACATTACAGTACCTATACCTATTTATTTTAACTTTAGGGGTTCCCAAAATCAAATTTAATAATTTTTCGAAAAAGCTGGATAGCATTTATTGTACTCCAGGAGCGGGGAAAGTTCTGTCGAAATAATCTTCGACCAATTTTTGTTGTCCACTATGCGGAGGTAAATATCTTTTTAAATTTCCGATTTTGTACAAATTTCACTGTCTATTTCCGCGTATGAGAGGATCCGTTAAAAAGAGGTTTGGTTATAGTATATTGTATTTCCTATATAATAATAACGATTATAAACAAAATGTCCGCTATTTAAAGGTGTCCGCCATTTGGAGGTGTCCGTTAAGGGAGATTTTGCTGTACATTTACATCAGATAACCAATAGTAGAAAATGTATTGTTATCAGTGTGCAGTGTAGTGCTAAATTTCGATTGTTTATGTTTATACATCGAAAAATATGTCACAATTAGCAGGTAAGTACGAGTAGCAATTTGTTTAATTTGAATGCATCTGTTTCCTCAATACAGGGGACTAATTACTAATTAATCCACAATGGACTAAAATGTTCTGAATATTATTATTATCATAATTCTTACTTTATTGTTATTAAATATCGATGGGCGCATTGTAGGATTTTCAAGAAAATGGGGTGACTCGTTCTTAATTTGATAAATAAAAAGTTAGAGATTGATTAGCTTTATTAAATTTATTTTCCCCTAAAAAAAAAAATGAAAAAGAAAAGTACACATACGAGGTGGAGTCGAATGCGCGGCAACTGTTCACGCATCTCCGCGCAATTCAGCGGTTCTGTTTCGAAGGCCACAGCCTCCACACGTACACCGCAGCTTATAAATGGTTATTAAACGGTTTGAAATTTTTTGTGAAAATTTTGATGCCTTGGATAACAACTCCATGCGGACTCATAAACCACAAACACAGGAATGCGTTACTGTATAAAATTTTACTGACTTTTCCTAAAAAAAAAAATTGAGGGGGCGTCATGAAATTCTTGGTGGAGTTGATTAGTCGAATTTTGGTTGTCGTTTTACCATCTACATGATATTCTTAATATACTTTACATTCAAAATATGACAACAATCGGTCTAGTAGTTTGAAGATTATCTGTTAATAAAAATCCGTACAGACGGAGACAGACAGACAGACGGGCGGAGGGACAAACGGACAGACAGACAGAAAACATAAAAGTAGGAATGGCGATGGGCTCAATTACTACTTCCTTAGCTTACGTTCGGGAAGTAAAAAAGTAAAGAACAAACGAACGTTAAAAATTAATTTTTCAAGTCTGATCATACTATATTTAAACCGATTTAGTTTGACGCACACTCAATTCGCAGTGGAAAATATAAGCCTACTACAGACCTGGGCTTTTTTCAAACACATGGTATATAAAACTTTATGCGTTGTGAGCTGCAATATTCTATTTCATTCAATGAGTTTTTATTTTTAGAACTGATTACACAGAAGCCTGAAAAAATGAATGTACTGATTTAACGAATCTCGAAGGTGGCTTATCTAAAGGTAGGTATTCATTTAGCGTGCATGTGTGATTAAGATTACTGATTACAATCACTCGTTTCATTAAAATTTCAGGTCACTAAAATTTATCATCAGGTTTTTAACAGTTCACATCTGAACTTCTAGGAATACTGTAATTGTTACGATTAGTGTTTCATTGTAAATATTCAAATTAACACATTTATATCTTACCTAAAAGTCGACCACCTAATGTCAAAATATCATTAAATAAATCTTTTGAAAATAGTCACATAGGTAAGCTTCCAGTATGTATTGTATTATGATTCAAAAGCGAAGGGAGAAAGAAAGAAAGAATAATGATTTGTTTAATGTGCTAAACGACAAACCATGAAAAAGTTCACTTTTCATAAATAATTTCTATATTTCATCTGGAGAAATCTGAAGTTTTTGGGTCATAACATCAAAATACGGCAATCTATTCAAACAAATTTTTGTTGATAACTGTGAATACACTACTTATAAATATCAAGTGACGATGGATGCATTTTTAAAATTAAAACTGTACATACAAATTTTTGTATAAAGTCTTATTTTAACAGCCGTTTTTGAGTTGTGTCAGTCAATTCTTGAAAATATTTACATACATATTTAATTTATCCTAAATTTTTGTTAACCAATTAAAAAAGATTTTCGAAATATTCCTTTTTACCCCTACTAATAGGTCGGGCTCCTTGATTCCAAGAGTAGCAATAATAGCAGCAACAAAATTTTGCCAATATTTAAAAAAATATAAAACAGCGTGTAAAGTAACTTTTCTTTTCGTCAAAAATATTGTGTACATTTTTCATCTTTGTTTTTTCACATTTCTTGTCTAATTTTTATCGTAGAATAGGTACATACTTATTTGATTTTAATTAAAATAAACTTGTTACTAAAAAAGCAAATAATAATAATGATGTGGCAAAAAAAAGTTATTTCAAATTACCGATATTTAGCGACTCTTGTCACAATCCCGTCACAACATTTTGAAAATATTATAAAAAAAAATATGTTTTGTATAAGTCAAAAATAAAGCTCTCCATACAAAATTGGTTTTAGAATGTTCATATTTTCTTGCATACCTTCCCTGACGGTGGATTATTTCCCTGTGATTAGTTAGATTTCCCATATTTTTATCGAAACTCAGTGAATTCGTTTTCCAAATTTTTGTTCAAATATAGTACATATTTAATAGTAAGGTTTTTTTTAACAAAACAACCAGAAAGTCTGTGCTATTTTAAAGATCTTTTTTTACAAATCTATAATAAAAACATAAGTCAAACAAGAAACCGAATTTTTATTACTAAACAGTAAAGAATGTGTAGTAGTATCTAATTTATGGCAATATCTTTATTACGAGACAGCGGATGATCGTCGGTATAGAGAAGGTCAAACTCGGTACAGCTCGTGCGGGATGGGAATTCAGATTTTAGAATAGAATAACGCTGCTTCGTTGCACTCTGCTGTTAATTCCTGTTCCCATTTACTTACCCGTTTTACTAATTAAGTTTTCGTTAATTGTATTTATGGAATAAGTGACGATTAAATTCAGTGTGATTATCACCTGGGACTGAGTCCCAGCGATCCAACGCGTCCCCACCTATCATCGTGACGTAGCCCGACAGAAATCCGATGTCTATTTATTACGCTGCTCGAATTTTTGATCAAAATGATATAATCCATATTATCAGATAAATTCGTCCAATAGTTATATTAATCAACTTGTGATAACAAATGTATTGTTCTATATCAAACGCACTCTTTTAGATTACAAACTAGATCATTACTGAAACTGGTGATGTATAGTCACTGACGATTAGGTGTAGTGGTGTTTGTTATATATACTGCAAACAATAAAGTAGAAGTTGTGAACATCATACAGTGTTACCTACGTAAAAAGTAAGTCTACACAAATTAAATAATAAGAGATCTCTCGATATTTTTTATACAATAAACTCTTGTTGCCTAATCTGCGATGGCAAAAGTATAATGTACACATTATTTAAAACGGTTTTACCGAAATCAGTATTGATCGATTTTGTATTATTTGTATCCTTTCCGTTGAATAAGTATTAGTTTTGTGGAAAAATATTAGTACTAGTTAAATGCCAATGTTATGCAATATTTCAAAATACAGTAAAATATGATTTTCATTTTAGGGTATTACAATGGGTAAAAAAGTGTACGAGTTAGATACGAATCCTGATGAGAAGGGTGGAAAGAAAGATGCTTTGACACCGTAAGTATAAATCCACCCAAAGATATACAAGTCCACATAACGCTACTGTACAGCACGTGGCCTTAGAATTTGATCTGCTGACAGCAGATAACAAGGTTATTAAAGTTTGTAGAAAAGTAAGACGTCTATCTACAATCTTAAAATCTTACAATCTTAAAATACCATTAAAATAATTTAAATTTAAAGTAAGGGCGAGGAGGTCTTATAAATCAGATTTTCTTTCTTTTATTAGATCAATCATAATCGTCTGTAGCAGAAATTAAAGTCATTTCACGAAATTCTGAATAATCTAGTATGCGTAGAGGTTCCAAAAATCCATTTATGCTGGAATACTCTATGGTTTGCATTTTTTTTTTTTTTGATGAAAGTGTTGCTTACCTTGAATCATTTCTATGGCATGAGTCTAACACACACAAATAAATTATAAGTTTTTTAAAAGAAGTCAATGTTCCTCTTTTTCTTAAGAACCGGATCAACTGTAGATTTATTAAAATTGGAAACTATTTCTATACCAGATGTACAAAATTACATCATTTTGTTTATTTTTCAATATTTCATGAGTATTTTTAAAGTGTTAACCATAAATTCACCGCATTCCTACACCAAAACATTTATCTGCTGATCGGATCAAGTCTTAAACCTTACATAAATAGATAGAACTGAGTCCCGACTACCCATTGATTAAATCAAGGTTATTTGTAAATTTGCACATATTGACATATGCGGAGAATGACATAACTGTTTTAGTTATTGGGTGCAATGACAATTTTACATCCCTCGCTACGTATACGCGGCTGTGACTGTAAATAATACAACGCACTATTAACTGAAAGTAAAAATTCAGAACTGCAGTTCAACTTTCACAAACCGCCACTAGGGCAGGACACGTACCAATTAGATAGTTAAAAATTCCGAGAGTTTTTCACTCACTTTTTTTGCATCAGTTCTAAAATTATACAAAATGTAAAGATAGACAAAAAACGAAATAATAATAATTTATTTTTTAGAAAAAAATAACTATTAATTTTTTCAGCGATTTTACTGACCCCAAAGAAAAAGACGCGAAAGAAGAGAAGATTCCTCCAACAGGCTTTTTTAAATTGGTAAGTTTGAAATATTCCATGTTCAATTGTTCAGTGATAGATTTTTTTTTCTGACATTAATTTCGATAGTTAAAAACATATTACAAAGTAATGACTATTTAAATCTAACATTCTCTTTATAAAATATGTATTGTATTACCATAGTTGACACAGTTCAAAGTAAAGTGCATTACAAAATTGGTTCATCTCTCGCGAAATACAATGTAATATTTACATTTTTTTTTTTTGTTTTTTTTTAGTTCAGATACGCCAGTGGTTCCGATGTATTCCTAATGTTATTAGGAACCTTGGCAGCAATGGGTACAGGTGTATTACAACCATTAAATACACTATTGTTTGGTAATCTAACAGGAAGTATAGTGAAATATGCCGCAACACTAGGAACGCCTGATCCAGATGCACTTGCAAAAGCTGAAGACGCATTTATTGATGACATCAGAGATTTTGCAGTCTACAACAGTCTAATAGGAGCCGGAATGCTCGTTTTAAGCTACATCTCTACAGAATTTTTTAATTACACAGCACTAAAACAGGTACAAATTAGTTCTAAATCACAAAAAATGTAGTATTCTTACGCCTCAGTTATTTACAACGAAACTTTTCTAAAATTTGATAAAACATAAAGATGTCAAAATGTTTAATCATTCATCCTGCGTAAACAGTCCTGATACTGAAAAATTAAAGTGTATTTTTGAATTTCAGATATTTAAAGTACGGTCACTTTATCTGGAAAAAGTTCTTAATCAAGATATATCTTGGTACGACCTTAATAACACCGGAGATTTTTCAAGCAGAATGTCAGAGTAAGTACAACTGGTATCAAAGAATAACATAATTCCAAATATTGTTGTTGTATAATGATGCACAGGCAACAGTAAAAACTACACAAAACAAAAATTCAAGAAGATGCAAACAATGATTTAGTTAATTTATTTTTATTTTATTAAGTTGTCCTGCAACGACGGAGACTTGAACATTTCATTTTTTTAACTTGAAAAATTGTGTTTAAGTCTCCTCAAGTGAAAGGTAAACAAATACACTTTAGTAGATGTAGAAAGATTTACAAAATGTCGTAAACTGTAAATAATTTTTTCTACTTTTCTTGACAGTAACAATATTATATTTTTACAGTGACCTTTCAAAATTTGAAGATGGCATTGGAGAAAAGGTCCCAATGTTTGTTCATTTTCAAGCAGCATTTGTATCATCGCTTATTATGGCTTTAGTTAAAGGATGGGAACTTGCACTTATCTGTCTCACTTCACTACCTGTATCGATGATAGCTATTGGAATTATTGGTGTGGTATGTATTGATTTACAATATACATTACATTTACAGTTCCTATATTATGTTGCAAGAAAACTAAATAAACATTAATGTTTAGCTATCATCAAAAATAGCTAAAAAGGAACAGGATGCTTATGCCACTGCTGGGTCTATCGCAGAAGAAGTATTTACATCAATTCGAACAGTTATAGCCTTTGGTGGCCAGCACAAGGAAATAACCAGATACGATCGCGAGCTAGAGTTTGCAAGAAAAAATAATGTTAAACGACAATCAATGACTGCAACAGGATTTGGTTTATTATGGTTCTTTATTTACGGCAGTTATGCACTTGCGTTTTGGTATGGAGTGAAATTAGTGTTAGAACAAAAAGGTGATCCCGATGCAACATACGATCCTGCAACTATGGTGACAGTACGTCTTCCCAATTATTCCAAGCATTATGCATATATTGTGAATATGATTTAAGGTCTTCTTTAGTGTAATGACTGGAAGTATGAACTTTGGAATTTCATCACCTTATATAGAGGCTTTTAGTGTAGCAAGAGCAGCTGGAACAAAAGTTTATCAAGTTATAGACAATATCCCTGTTATTAATTTATCCAAAGGAAAAGGAGAAACAATTCAGAATCTCAAGGGAAATATTACATTTAAAAATGTCAGCTTTACTTATCCGTCCAGACAAGATGTTCCGGTAAGTGTAGATAAATTCACTTGTAAAGTTTTACTTTGACGAACAAAATCCTACCTCTTTTTTTCATCATACGGGTTTAACAAAAAACTTTGTCTAAAGAGTAGTCTTCAAATAAAGAATGAAATTACAAAGCTTTAAACATAAGTTGAGTGAAAAAACATGAAAACATCAACAATAATTTTTATAGTATGTCGTTAATTAACCAAAAATAATTTTGGCCACAGTGTCCAGATCAATCGTCATATTAAAATTTTGATTTAGTGATTGACATCTTGAAATGACCAATTTTCTCATGTTTTTTGAATAGCACTTGATCTGTATTTTACAACATTGTTTTAATCAGCTGTCTTGTAGTATCAAATTTGTTAGGGTTTATCTCATTAGATTTTTGTTATTATTGTTAAAATAAACCTATTACAAACTTGACAACAAAAGAACTTAAAAACAAGTTCTAAAATATTGCAAAATGTAAACCAGGGAAAACTGACAATTTACAAATTTGATACCATGCATAAAGAAATTAACAAGTTCAAACCCTGTTTATAGTATTTTTCATACGCATATTTTAAAGAAAGATTACAAAAAATTTTATGCGAAATTCCAAACCTCTATCTCCAAAAATGGTGAAGCTGTGAATGTTTAAATACAAGTATAATGTTTTTACATAAAAATGAAAATATCTTGAATATTGTCCATAAAAAACCCTTACGCTCACATTTTTTTTTTGTTTCATAGAGAATTTAAACCTAAAAAAACATCTAGAACATTCCGTATAAAACTTAAAAGTTACTTTTAAATGGAATAATAATTTTAATTTGTAGTCCTAAATGAGCTTCAATAAAATGAACCAATTAATCTGTTGAGTGTCTGATGTTCCATCAGCAAACCACTGAAACACTAATTATTATTGTTAATAGTTACATCAGTTTCACAAAAAATAGTTGCTTGATTAAAAATTTGAACAGTTATTACAAAACTTTCTTATCTAATTTCAGATTTTACAAGGACTTGATTTAACAATAAAATCAGGCGACACTGTGGCGCTGGTAGGAAGTTCTGGTTGCGGTAAATCAACTTGCATACAGCTAATTCAACGATTTTACGATCCACTCTCAGGAGAGGTAAGCAATTAGTTTTGTCAAGATTGAAGCAACTATTTATGACTAAATAATACAGGTTACTCTTGATGGCAAAAATATTAAAGATCTTGATCTTACTTGGCTACGAAGCAACATAGGGGTTGTAGGACAAGAACCAGTACTCTTTGGTACAACGATAATAGAAAACATTAGGTATGGCAACCAAGAGGCCACAGACGAGGAAATTAAACAAGCAGCGATAAAAGCTAATGCACATGAATTTATCAAAGCTCTTCCTTCGGGATATGAAACTTTGGTCGGTGAGAGAGGAGCACAGTTGTCTGGCGGTCAAAAACAAAGAATAGCAATCGCTAGAGCTTTAGTTAGAAATCCTTCCATTCTTCTTTTGGATGAAGCAACATCAGCTTTAGATACAAGTAGTGAAGCTAAAGTGCAAGCTGCATTGGACAAAGCTAGCAAAGGCTGTACAACTATTATAGTGGCTCATCGTTTATCAACCATTCGCCATGCACACAAAATCGTTGTTATATCGAAAGGCAAAGTTGTTGAGCAAGGTGAACACCACGAATTAATGGATCTTAAAGGAGAATACTTCAAACTTGTTACCGCGCAAGTTGGCGCAAGCGGAACCGAACATGATAACAAACAAGATGATAATAAGCAACTTGTGGAATTTGAAGATTTGCGAAAGGCTTCTGTCATAAATAATGCAGAAGTAAGTGCTTATGTACAGGTTTTTGAGGCAATATGATTACCGTTAATTATATTACAGGATTCCGAAGAAGTAGAAGCAGAAGAAGATCACACGAGCGTGTCTTTATGGGAAATTGTAAAGATGAATCAACCCGAGTGGATTTCTATTGTCATAGGTTGTGTTGCGTCTATCACAATGGGTTGTTCCATGCCTGCATTTGCCGTTATATTTGGCGATATAATGGGAGTAAGTGTATTCGATCATTAAAAATATGTTTTAGAATGATTTATTGTAAAAGAGGATGTTTACAAAAAAAATAATCGTTTATATACGACTAAATTATTAAAACATATTAGTAGTTTTATGACCACATTAGTAACTTTTTCTAAGCAACGTATTTTTGTTTAGTTTGTTCAGTTATCACTAATTATATAGAAGTATTTCTTTCAATTTGGATCCAATATTTATTTTTTTATTTTTAAAATCCTATTAGGTAGTTAGCGAATCTAATTAACGATATTTATTTACTACAAATATATATTTTTTACCTACAGGTATTAGCCAAGAATGATACTGACCTCGTTCGAAGCGAAACTAACACTTACTGCATATATTTCGTAATTGCTGGTGTTGCATCTGGAATAGCAACATTTTTACAAGTAAAGTTGTTACACTTACAAATACGTTTAATTATTATACGATAATACTTTCTAGATATTCATGTTTAGTTTAGCCGGTGAAAGTTTAACTAAGAGACTTCGTAGCTTGATGTTTCAATCTATGTTACGCCAGGAAATGGGATGGTATGATGTAAAAGACAATGGTGTTGGCGCATTATGTGCTAGACTTTCTGGAGAAGCTGCACATGTCCAAGGGGTATTTTCTTGGTTTTCCAATTTTTTCTTCAATTATATTTAAAATTTTAGGCAACTGGTCAAAGAATTGGTACCATTTTGCAGTCAATAGCTACGTTGGGACTTTCAGTGGGATTATCTATGTATTATGAATGGAAACTCGGGCTTGTCGCACTAGCATTCACACCACTCATCCTCATTGCCATATTTCTGCAACATAGATTGATGACTATAGAAAACGACGCTCATCATAAATCTTTGCAAAAGTCAACCAAGGTACATACAAAGATTTCCCTACTACTAAGTTACTTATTATTTGTTTATATATTACAGCTCGCTGTTGAAGCAGTAGGTAACGTCCGAACTGTAGTATCTTTAGGATGTGAAGAAACTTTTCATAAAGTCTACATTTCTTTTTTAACTCCACACCACAAGAAAACTCTACGCAATACTCATTTTCGAGCAGTTGTCTTGGGATTAGCAAGAAGTTTGATGTTTTTTGCTTATTCGGCTTGCATGTATTATGGAGGTTTTCTTATTAAAGATGGATTACCATATGAAGATGTATTTAAGTAAGTTTCTAAATCTGCAGTCATTAATTACTGACAAAATACAAATTACTAATAGTGCAAATTTTGACACAAAACACGTATCTGATTTTTTAACAAAATAATAATATTTTAGGGTGTCACAGTCGCTTATCATGGGAACTGTATCTATCGCCAATGCTTTGGCATTTACCCCTAACTTGCAAAAAGGTTTAACTGCTGCAAGTAGAATTATAAGACTGTTGAATCGAGTTCCTCTTATAAGAGACGAAAGGGATGCAAAAGATCAAAACTGGGTAATTAATTTAAACATTGTTTGTGAACGAATTATCTAAAATGTTGGGATTTCAGGAAAGTGGTAGTATTGAATACAATAGTATATATTTTTCATACCCAACTAGACCAAATATCTCTGTACTTAAGGGTATAAATTTATCTGTCCTGAAGGGAAAAACAGTAGCTCTCGTTGGACCTAGTGGTTGTGGAAAATCAACTTTAATACAGTTGATTGAAAGGTTTTACGATCCTATTGAAGGTAACCTTACAGTCGATGGAGAAGATATAAAGAATATTAAATTGGAATCCCATCGTTCACATCTTGGCATAGTTTCACAAGAGCCAAATCTTTTTGACAAAACAATTGGAGAAAACATTGCATATGGAGATAACTCTAGAACCGTTGAAAACGATGAGATCATAAAAGCTGCGAAAAACGCCAACATTCATAATTTTATTTCTTCTTTGCCTTTGGTAATAATTTCTACTCTTTGTGAGCTGTGAATATTACGTTTAATTTTTAGGGCTATTCCACCCGACTTGGAGAAAAAGGAACACAATTATCAGGCGGCCAAAAACAAAGAGTTGCTATTGCTAGAGCTCTCGTGCGAAACCCAAAACTCTTACTGTTAGACGAAGCAACGTCAGCTCTTGACACAGAAAGTGAAAAGGTATTGTTTTTATTTTTCTTATAAACATTTCAAAATAACTTATTGTCAAACAAACAAACAAACAGGAAACTGATTCTGCCTTCACTTTTAAAGGTTTTAGTGTCCTATAGTTAGTATTACGTTGTTTATGTTTTTCTTATATGGTAAATAATTGTATGTAGTGCATCTCTTTCATTTTCATAAGCTGTTGCTTCACCAATTTTTAACATGATCCTTACAGTTGAATTTAAATTTTAATATCTTTATGAAATAAAATATTAATTTTCCTGATATTTAGCAAAATGTTACACTTCAAGTTTAATTAAAATTTATACAGGACAGTAATGCATACTATTCCGAAAGGCCCCAAAAAAAACTACAATTTAACTCTCAAAAACTTATCAAACTTAAGCAGACATAGTAAAACATAGGCACGTTCAAAGCACTTAAGGAAGTCCCTAAAAACCATCGCTTCAATCACTTTAATGGAATGTTACTGCAATTTTTTTCTGAAGTTGCGACCTAACGCTGTGACCTGTTAAATACGTTTAATGAAGCCTAAAGGCAATGTGATGGCCATAGCGCACTCAAACTATTTTCAATCATTTGTTATTTATATAAAGTACTCTTTAAAATAAAGTGCATATTAAGAATACTCTTCAGATAAAAATAATGCATTAATAATAATCACTTTAAATTTTAGGTTGTACAAGAAGCATTAGATAATGCCAAAATAGGACGAACGTGTATCACGATTGCTCATCGTCTGACGACTATTCAAGATGCAGATGCCATTTGTGTAATAGACAAGGGAATTGTATCGGAATTGGGAACACACTCAGAACTATTAGCTAAAAAAGGACTTTATTACAAATTACATTCGTTGCAAAACAAAGATTAAGAAGTCACGGTGAATCCTACACTAGAGTATTTATTTATGTATATTTTTAATTATTTGTGTGTGTCTGAAACTTGTACATTGTGCTATAATATCTCTCAATAAATTATTTTTGTAAATATCTGTATGGTTCTTTTGCTACTTACCGAAACTTTAGAACGGGAAAATATTATATACATATTTATAACTGTTAGTTAGAGTGGACCCACTCCTTTGAAAATGATTAAGTTACATAGAATTATGAGATCGAAATCAAAAAGTACTACTTGTTTTGTGTAATCGTACTTATAATATTACACATATTAGTAAAATTGAGATAGCACACCGCATAGGAATATGAATGCATCTAAAGACAAAGACTAAGACGCAATTTACAGAAGCTCAATTAAATATTTGATTGCGATTATAGTATTTAACATTGCCTACTAGTAAAAAACATATATATATAATCTGTTACCCTCTTTTACCCATTGGGTGTCGAGGGGGGAGACGCACCGAGCCGCTCAGATAGGTATGGAGATCTTAGCGACCCATCCACAAAGTGACTGCGGACAGCGTTGCTTCATGAGCACTATCGCTGTGCCGCGCTAGGGGCTATCTGAGCCGTACTGCATGGTAAAAAGTATTACAATAGTTGAAAACATACGAGCTTAAGCAAAGGTATAAAAACTGGCTAGCCAGTCAAATTTTTATAGGCTAGTTCCAGTTAAGAGACATTTTCAAGTTGAGTACAGTGACTTGATGAATTGATGTTTACAAATGAGGAACAAATAAAATGTTTCTACTTTGCGTTAACAATGGCCTCATTATTAAACCGAAACCAGTTTAATAATGGGATCAATTGTTAAACTGTATTTCAGGTGGCGTGCAATAAGTGGGGCCCTCTTCTTCCATTTTTTGAGGCAAACTTAGGTTAGATTGTTAGTGTTCGGTGGTTAGATGTCAAACTTTGACATCGTGAAGTTAGCCACAACGCTACAACTAACCTTTCGAATTAAAAGGCCCTAAATTATAACCTTGAATTTTTATTAATTTTTTGTGTCCGATCAGATACAAAGTAGAAAAAATAGTATATTATACTCGTTTAATAAGACGCATTGTGGCACTTATTCCTTTGGAGCACTCCTCGCTGCGCTCGTCGTGCCCCAAACCCATGCGTGCCACAATAAGACGTCTTATTAAACTCGTATAATAATATACTATTTTAACACGGCGTTAAAGTAGATACCACGTGACCCACTCTACGCCAAGCAGACGTCGTTAAACGCCTCGTTAAATGCGTCATTAACTAAATTTCATAATCAGTTTCGTCTAATAAGTAATAATAATCCATAATTCTGAAAAAAGTAGCAAGTTTTAACAATTTAGTCAAGTAAAATGTATAATATACGTATTTTGTTCTTAAAAAAAAGATTTCAGTTTCTGGTGCAAAATCAACATTAATTTTGAGTCCATCCAAAATTTAGATGATTTTAACACCTCCATGACTGGGTTAGTTGAAGCAAATTTTATTAGAGATAGCAACGAAAAGGTAAAATCCGTAAGTATGGACTGATTTTGCTATTATTTAATAGAAGTACACTATGACAAATCCCGTTTGTTTAAAAATTATACACTCTATATACCAAAAAAATGCAACACCCAAAAGGAGTACTTTTGTTTTTTAACAAACGACAATTGTTTAACGTTGCTGGTTTAGAAGATACTGGGTATAGTCAGAGCAATTAATCGGTCGTTGAGGTTTCGATGGAGTGAGAAAAGGGGAGGCAATGCCTAGAAGGCGAAGAAATCCAACTTACCTGCAGTTAACCCTCTTTGAAAGAGGACTAATTTTAGGCATGAAAGAAGCTGGGAAATCACTTCGTTAAATTGGGCGACGCTTAAATCGTACTGTGACGAGTGTGGCTAGAGTCTGAAGAACACCAAGAAACACGCCGCAGAGGGAGTAGCCGTCTCACAACCTCGTGAAGATCGCCTTCTTAGACGCTTGGTCATACGAAATCCTTTCGAACCCTCGCAGGCAGTAAACAATAATTGCAGCACGGCCGTATTTTTGACTGCCATTGACGGTTGAACAAAAAGCTGCCAGACGACAATGGTGTAACGATAGACAGCACTGTCAGCAGCATTAATGGAACAGTGTCGTCTTCAGTGACGACTCACAATCAGATGGACGTATGCGTGTGAGAAGACCGAGAGGGGAACAAGGCAATCCGAACTTCATACAGCCATACAGGATGGACACCAGTGATGATGTGAGGTGCAATATGTACTGGAAGCCGTTCACCTTTAATGTTCATCCCGGGAACTTTAAATACTCGTCGTTACATCGGCCACGTGCTAGAGCCTCTGTTGTTACCCTACTTTGAAAAAGTACAAGATGGTATTTTCCAACAAGATAACGCGCGACCACATATTGCCCATGTATCAGTGAACTTTCTGGCAGACAATAATGTAAACATATTGCCTTGACCGCCTCGCTCTCCGGATTTAAACCCAATTAAACACATATGGGATGTGCTGAAGGTACATCTGGATCTGGGAGTGTCGTCCACCGAATACTCCAGAAAGCCTGAGAGACTATACCTCAAGCAGATATTGCACACTTAATTTCCAGCATGCCAGGACGAGTTACAGATTGTTTTAATAATCTTGGAGACGTCACTCACTATTAAGTTGGTTATGTTATTTGTTGACTGATATGGTCCAAATGGTAATCGTTTTATAAGATTGATATGATATACAAGTAGTTGAAATTTCAATAAAATTCGTCCACTCCTTCCATGTGTTACAATTTTTTTGATATGTAGGTAGTGTAATATTTATTTTTTTGTGATAACTCCTATAAATTAAAAAAATATATATAGAAAATAAGAGTCACGGTTTAAAAAAAAGATCATTCCCCTTCGAACGCCCTCTTGTGGTTACAAAGTGGAGGCGCCGACTTATGAGCCATGCAAGTATTGACTCACGGATCGCGAAGGTTGGATAAGGGTTAATTTTCCCCTTATAATTTTGATAATACAAAATAAGTTTTTCAGATTTCTTAAACTTCGCGAATAACTGTCAATTTTGGTGTACGTACCTTTCAATAACACCCTGTATATTATAATAATATAATTTATTTAATAATAATATAATTTATTTATTCTTAACTATAAAATTATTCATCTTAATAAATCCAAACTTCGTCGTCAAGGAAGGTTACCAACGACATTGGTTTCTTCTCCAGGAGCTCTAGATAACGCCCGATTTCATATAAATTGAAATGTACTCGTATTGTGGTTATAATAGTTGTGGCGTCGTGCCGTTCTTCGAAGGACCGTAATAATACTCGATTGTTTAAACACTTATATTACATTATATATTTATATATATCACAAGTTGTATGTATTAGAGGGCATCGCGCCCGTACCGCCTTCGCGTTCGGTGGTTCTTGTCGTTCTTGAATGTTGTTGTCGAATGAATCGGGAGAAAGCGCCCTCCGTCCGGTGGGTGGTGTGGTGGGGTGCTTACCCTCGGGCAGGACCGGGCTTGCCCGGCTGGTCTGAGTCAGGCCCGTACCGAACATCCAGCCCCCCTTGAATCACCGTGTGATTCAACGTCTTCTTCCTCTGGTGGGAACGGGCATATGCGGTTGACAGCTCTGGAAACCTCACCGCTGTTGGTTTTCACAATTACCGTACGCACGGTACCATTCTTCCCTGGGTAGACCTCCTTGATGACTCCCATTTTCCAACACAATGGGTGTAGGTTTTCCTCCTTGAGTAGGACCGGTAGGCATGGTTTAGCCTGATTTGTGCACCGCTCCCTCCACTTCGATCTTTGCTGAAGAGTATTCAGGAATTCCTTACTCCAGCGTTTCCAGAAGTTCTGAGTGATTTGTTGTACACGCTGCCATCTTGATAATCGATTTTCCTTTGTCGTGGTTAGGTCGGGTACTGCAGTTGTTGCTAATGTGTCCCCAATAAGGAAATGACCGGGAGTAAGGGGACTCATGTCAACAGGGTCATGGGATAGTGGTGTCAAAGGTCTGGAATTGACGCAAGCCTCAATTTGTGCCAAAACCGTCAAAAGCTCCTCGTATGAAAGTAGTGCGTTAGCTACAACTCCTTTCAAATGATATTTTACAGCCTTTCTAGGAATGGTTAACGAATTTAATAGATGTAATTGCTTTGAAAATTCGGGCCATTGTGTATATAGATCTTTAGGTAATGGATCGTCCCATTCAAGTTTATACGACCACATTTTTTGTCGATACATTTTAACAATGTCACAAGTAAAGGCAAATTGATGTGTGCGAAATCGAGTAATAATTGAAAATAAACTTTGTTGGACAGTTGATCCCACCATAAGAATGTTATTTAAGCTAATACCAGTACTCGTTTTGCTACTAGCGTTAAAAACTACTCGCACCCTCGTGGTTGAGCTTGATTCCTTAACGACAGCATGATGGGGTAAATAATATGAATATTGTTTATTGACATTAACATCAGACGAGTTTGTGATTAATTGCATATGGCCTAAATCAGTATATTCTTGCATGAACTTAATATAATCACTCTTTAGTTGAGGTTTGTTATTCAGCCGGTTTTCTAATGAATGGAACTGTTTTAGAGCAATGTTGTCAGAACGACCTAGATGAGAAACATCTGTTTTAAATGGTAATCTGACAACAAAGCGACCGGAAGGGTCTCTTCTAACCGTTTTGTAGAAATGCCTTTCACATGCTAATTCCTCAACTGACATAGTACTGGTGTTCGTTACCTGCTCCTCCATTTCCCAAAATTTTGTCAATTGTTGATTTAAAGCCTCATCTTTCCCAAACTTTCTAGTACAACCAGAGATTTCTTAGTAACCTAGATACGGCTATGGGCAGCAAAGTGTGGAACAACATGTATGAAAATAGTGCCGACATACTTTCAGTTCTCTGTCTTTCTCTTACTCGTCGTAATGTGCACTACATACTAGTGTTATCTTCGTCTAATTTTAGCGACTGTTAACATTGGTTGATAATTTGGCACACTGATTTAAAATGGTATAAAAGACAATCATAACTCGAGTTTTTTAACAAGTGGCAAACGAAAAGTTTCTAAGCAATCTCCAAAATGATTTGTAATG